GTGTCATGATAATGATACCAATCTTTTACTTTTGTTTTTTTTGCCGCTACTCCTCATCCCATCCTGATCATCAGATGTGCATGATGCTTTTAAAGGAAAAAATGTCTATGTCCTTCTGTCAAAAGTAAATGGATATAAGTTGTTTTACTGGGACATTAATAAAATCGGTCCTGACATGGAACTGGAGAGTCAGGTGGGTACAATCACTATATTATTTTTGAAATATCACAGCTGTTACAGTATTTAACTAATCTTTTTTTCTTGTTATAAATTTGCAGTCTATTAATGCATTTATGGCTGTCATTGTGAAGGATTACAACAGCAAGAACAAGGGACAGGCTGCGTTCATAGATTCATTTGAAATGACAGCAATGTGGGAGGGAAAAAGTCCTAGATTAAAGGTAGATCTTATACATTCCACTATGTTTTTCTTTGTTAGTCTTACATTTGTTATTAGGATTTCTAAATCGATTAAAATAAATTATGCTTATGGTTATATGTTCTTACACATTTGTCTGTATCACCTATAATAAAATATAATTAGGGCAATGTGTGTGGCTAAAAATGTTTTCTTCTTCATATGAAAAATATATTTTTTTGTTAATTAACAGAAGATGTAATTATGAAATAATTCTTGGAATCAACAATCAACACCACCACTGGACTTTAGTGGTAATAAAAATTTCTAAAACTTTAAAAACAACCTATATCATTCTTATGTCATGGACACAAATCACGTGTAAACTGTCAAATGCAAACTTTATAGGTGATTTACCCACAAGATAAAAAGTCTTTGTTCTTGAATCCACTGGGGGAATCAAAACAAGAGATCCAGAAATGTTTGCAAATCACAAGGTATGGTAGAAAATTTAAGTATAACTCAAGTATGAAAATCATATAAAGTTGTTCTTATTAAATTATCTGTATTTACAGGGCGTTTATGAGGAAGAAGGGGTGCAATGTCTCTCGTTGGACATGTGACACAGTGAAGCATCCAAAACAACAGGACAGTACATCATGTGGTGTATTTTCACTGAAGGTGCATATTGTCACACAGTGTATGACCTTAGAATTTTGAAATATATTTTGAGACATGTACAGTGAATTACTGTCTTTGTTAACTGAACTTGGAATCATAAAATGAAGCTGTATATTTCAGTTTGCAGAAAAACTCCTTGCAAAAGAGGTTGTGGATTTTCCTGTTTCCACTGCGGCGGTCTACAGCATGAGGTTGGACATTGCTGTGAGACTTATCCTTGACAGTGGTAATTATAACATTAATATTCTTATTTTGAGCGTTAATGAGAATTTTTATCACGATTACTGCAATTTGCTTTTTTGGATTAAAAAAATGTTACTTAGCCAAAACTTTATACATCAACATGGAATTAGAAAACAGTTATTTAAGAAAATTGTTTGTTTATAACTTAATAAATACAATAATTTCATTTTCTATAGTTGTTAAAAGTCATAATGCTATTTTTCTTTTCCAAAATGACTGTGTTGACACTTAGGACAACCAATGCAAGGCACAGGATGTGGCAGTTTCATACACAAACACACACACACGCAAACAATTGTACATGCATAATCATGTGTGTATGGATGTGTTTTTTATTTTGTTTTTAACAGATGACTTAAAAGACTTGTGCCACTTTTGTGGAGAGAAGGAAAGTGACACGGACGTGAACTGGGTAAGAAATTTTATAGAGTTATTCAAAGACTTAGAGTTAGTAAGTTAAAGGAAGAGAACAACTTTTACCTAATTTTTTCTATCATAAACAAGATTTTAATAAGACTATCCAGCAGTTGGAATATAAGGGAATATAAAATTATTCATATAAATATTGTCATTGTAAAGACATGTTTACTTAAAAATCGTTTATATTTTTTATTTTTCTTTACTAGATCCAGTGTGACATGTGCCTGAGGTGGTTCCATCAGGCGTGTGTGGGAAGCCCACCAATTCACAAAACTTATGAGTGCATTGCCTGTTTGCCCTAAGTTCCAGAGTTTGCTGTGATTGAGAGCATTGTGTGTTTGCCTTAGGTTCCTGAGTTTGCTGTGGTGTGCTAGTAGTTTATGTATGTTGAACAATGTTTAATAAATTACATTTTGAAAACTATGTTTGACATTTGTTCTTAACATACGTTAATATAAGGTAGCTATGGAAAGATAGTTTAAATCACACAATGAAGTGCAAATATTTTAAAAACACAGTAAAAGACTTGCAGGTAAATTAATTTGTTTCCATTTTAAGTAGGGGGAACAGATTTTATCAGGCAGTTAAGATATTTTGTTCCCCCATCCTAACTTTGGCAAAAATAGAGCAAATGTTTTCAAACTTGCAGGATTTGTTGTTGATGATGAGTGGAATTAACACAGTAAAAGACTTGCAGGTAAATTAATTTGTTTCCATTTTAAGTAGGGGGAACAGATTTTATCAGGCAGTTAAGATATTTTGTTCCCCCATCCTAACTTTGTCAAAAAAAGAGGAAATGTTATGAAAATCACAGGATTTGTTGTTGATAATGAGTGGAATCAACACAGTAAAAGACTTGCAGGTAAATTAATTTGTTTCCATTTTTTAGAGGGGGAACACATTATTTCAGGCCGCTGAAATATCCATTCTCTCCTCTCCTCCCCCCATAACTTTGGGAAATAAAAAGCAACTGTTTCCAAATTCTCAAAAATTATAATGTGTGATAGCATGCTAGACATTTCCTTAATCCAGTAATCTGTCATATTTTACATTAGAACGGGATTTACCAAAAAGTTTACACTCTGATCTTTTCAGGAAGTCTTTATTTTGGTGCCCTGCTATCGGCCAGCTTCCCTCCTCTTGTATCAGAAATGAAAAATTATAAATGCACACTACGTGTTGGGAACCTGTGTTTGTTGACTGACTTTTATTTGTGAGGCTTACGAGACAAAAGCTGAAAAAAAAAGATTGATTCTCTTCACGTTTAAAATAACACAAAACAGCGTAAAAAGACCTCCACACAAGACCTTGTTTATTTATTTATTTTTTTAATTTTAATAGCTGCCGATTAAACTGAAAGTTACAACATTGACATGATTATATGAGTAGTTTTAACCGAGAAATCGATCAGAAGCGCCGTGAAAATGGTCAAATCCGACGAATCCACTTCTCTGGCTGCAATGCGCGCTCCCGACACAGGGGGCAGATTTTCACAGGGGGCAGATTTTCTCACAAGACCTCTTCTGCTGCTGGCTTTCATTTCTCCTCAGTCTCTCTTAGGTTTCATTTTCCGTAGTAGTGAAAGTATTCACACCCTCTTTGATTGCTCCACATTCAGTTCCAGCGTCTTTTACTGGACCAGACCAACACTGTGTTCTGCAGAACCGGAACCTTACGGATTGTTTTCAACGTTTTTATTAATATAAATCTGAAAAGTGTGGTCATTTCTGATTCCTCTCATTTGAAGAATCAGCTATCATTTATTTTATGGTTAGAAAGCAGCAACTCTAACATGTCTATGATATAAATGATAAAACCAGGAGAAGTTGGATCCCGACCAGAACCTCGGTGTTTATTATGGGTCCTGTAGTTCTGGTGATCCAGTCTTGATGTCAGGAAAGTGAAACTGAAGGAAACTCAACAGGGCCGCTATAAAAAGGCTGGCCGGCACGAGAGCAGCTCAGACCGGAGATGGGCGTCCAGGGTTTGGCCTCCTTCCTGGACAAACACCGGAACATTTACCGGGAGGTTCGGTTCGGCCGGAGCCGCCTGCTGGTCGACGGCTGCAACCTCAGCTACCAGCTGTACTTCAGCTCAGGTGAGGCTCACCTGTCGGAGCTGCGGCTCGTTTCGTGTGATTCTTTAGGCTCGGAGGCAGCAAACAGAACATCGTAGTAAACAAACTTCTTTTTCTAAAAGCTGCTCTGAGAAAAAGTGACCAGTTCCTGTCTGCTGACGATCCTCACAGACAACCTGAAATATCAGAACCAGAACCGACGTGTTTGTCTTTGGCACATCGGAACCTGGTAGAGAGCAGAAATGAACCACGATGCCAGAACTCCTTCAGTTCACCTGCCAAGTTACTGCAACTGTCTGTCATTTTGCCTCCATGCATTGCATGGCAGG